ATTATGAGAAGAGTGGATAAGGATATCATCCAACCTTACAAGTTTCAAGATAACTAGAACTCAAAGACATCACGAAGACATCGATATCCTTCACATATTACCCAAAACGCAATAATATCCCAAAAAAACTGAATTGAATTTGGTTTGCCAAAAAACGCAATAATATTCTGAAGTCTAAAATCTAGAATTAGTAGGCCTACTGGCGCCATGTTCCAAAATAGAAAAGGCATGGCTTTAGAAAAATTACATCTTGCTGACAATCCTTTGCCTGGAATCGTGCGGCAGTTGAGCCCGCCAATCGCCGGTCTCCATGGATCCGGAAGCAGGAGCAGCCCCACTGGCTGCTATGCCTGCGGCTTCACCACCCTGAGACTGAGCCAGAGGTTGCGCCGCTCTCCAACTATTGGCATCCATGCATTCAACTTTCTCCTACACCTTCAGCAATCGTCCAATCGATGTCAAAGAGACAGACACCAGAGTTTTTTTCTTTCTTTTTTTTTTGGGGGACGAAGACTGAGACCAGAGATGGAAGAGGTGAAAAATCAATGGACTACTCGTACGGAGGGCCCTTAGACCGGATTAAACGGTACATTGAGAGCACATTGATACTAATAAAAGGTAGAGCCTATAGTTTGTACTTGCAAAAGTTTTATGTTTAGCATTGTCTTCAGCGTAGTTGCTAGAAATTGAACTCGGATCTTACTCTCTTGGCACTCCTTATCTTGCCAACTGTGGAACGTCCACCGCCATCTCTCATCCAAAATTGTTCGGGTAGCACGTCAAATTTCTTCTTTTATTTTGGGCCCTCAATACACGGACCTATCTTCTTTTTTTTGTTACAATGTACTATCTTTTTATATATTTTTAATCCAATAACGCACAAAGATTTAACATTTTCATCTTCACTGAGGTTCAAATCTGGGTAAACTTCCATATTAATCCTAGGAAATGGCTTCCTACCACACAAGTCTATGGAGAAATTCACTGGCTCATATTTATTTGAACATAGTTCAATTTTATCACAAAAATAGAATAATAAAAAGAGAATTATCTAATAATGAAGACTAAAAGTAAAATATCTTTCATATATCAAAATAAATCTTAAAATTTTTCTAACAAAATAAGACCTATATAAATTGTCTATATAAGATCTTATTTTGATACTCCGTATAAGTTTAATATTTTAGTCATACTCAAGCACGAGTATATTTTTTCAATATTAGTGGAGTGTATTCAATTCAATTTTTAAAAGATTATAAGATTTTTCATAACTTATATACTCCCTTATAGAAGAATTTATCAAAATGCCCATAAAAAGTTTCGTATTTCACAAATTACAATGTAAGTGAGAATTGATTGAAATGTCCAGGCGTTTAATGATGACGTGATTCTTAAAATGAGAAAAGGAGGCCAAGTAATGAAGCGTTGACGGTGTTTCCATTTTAAATTTAAATTAAAAAACAAGGATGGGTAAAACAACGTCGGATGAGAGTGAACTGAAACCCTCCAAAACTTATCTTTCTTCCTCGTGCAATGTTACGCCCCGAAACCCGGCCTATCGGAATTAATTAATTCAAAATAGTTAATTAATTACTGAGACGGACTCAAGAGAATTATGAAATTTTCTTCGTTTGATAAAAAGGTTTATAACGTTGTGTAGGATTCAATGGAACGAATCCAACGGTACAAACAAATTCGGATTTGGAGCCTGTCGGCCCAAAAGCGCATTTTAGGCCAGGTACGATAATTAATACGGAACCCAAAATCCCAAACCTATAAATAAACCCCTTACACACCTAAAACCCTTTCACGCCTCCCCATAATTTATGTAAACTCACCCCTCTCTCTCGTTTCTTCTCTCGCGACCGAAGAACACAGATTGTACTTGGTGTGCTGAGAGAGCACAAGCTCTATGCCAAACTGTCGAAGTGCGAATTTTGGCTCAACGAAGTCACATTTATAGGGCATTTGATTTCCAACTAAGGTATAAAGATGGACCCCAGTAAGATATCAGCCATAACGGAGCCATAACGGAGTGGAAGACTCCAAGGAATGCACGGGAGGTGAGGAGCTTCCTTGGCCTAGTTGGTTACTACTTGCGTTTCATGGAGGACTTGTCATTTATTACATCACCATTGAACAAGCTATAGAAGAAAGACGTGAAATTTTCATGGACTAACGTATGCCAACAAAGTTTTGAGAAACTCAAGAAGTGTTTAACCGAGGCAGCGATGTTGGTATAGCCAGTGCTTGGAGTTGACTATACGATTTTTAGCGATGCATCTCATAGCAGGCTCGGTTGTGTGCTCATGAAGGAGGGCAAGGTAGTGGCCTACGCCTCTCGATAGTGGAAACGTCACGAGGGTAACTACCCTACGCACGACTTGGAGTTAGGAGCGATGATATTTACGTTAAAGATTTGGCGACATTACTTGTTTGGTGAGACCAATCACATCCACACCGATCACAAAAGTTTGAAGTATTTGCTAACTCAAAAGGAGCTGAATTTGACACAACGAAGATGGTTAGAGCTGATCAAGGACTATGATTGCTATATCGATTATCACCCTGGCAAGGCCAACGTTGTGGCCAATGCCTTGAGTCGAAATATTATGGCCAAACTATGACTTCAACCGACTTTGGATAGTGAGATCCGCACAGCTTTAGGCTACGAACGATTTTTGTGGGAAGACTTGTGAGCTTGTCTCTAAGGGGGAGATACAAGACTTCATTGTTGATGGTAAAGGTGTTTTGTTTTATCGGGAACGCCTGGTGGTACATGATGATGAAGTGAGAAAACGACTGCTACGAGATGCTCATGAAACCGTGTACACCATGCACCCCGATAACAATAAGATGTATCAAGATCTCAAGAAGACCTACTGGTGGCCGACTATGAAGTGAGGAATTTCTGAATTTGCATCTAGATGTTTGACTTGTTGTGTAACGCCCTAAAACATGGTCTAAAAATTATTCTATTACTCCCTCCGTCCCGTGAAACATAGGAGTTTTGCTTTTTATGAGGGATTTAAGGGAGTGTATTTTGGTATTGAATTTCCAAAAATGTCCTTTGATGTGATGGGTAAAAGTATGATTTGATGGATAGATTATTAGTAAAAAGGTATGATGTGATAGTTAGGGTATGAAAAAGTAAGGGGTAAAAGTGACTTTTTAATAGAAATGAGAAGTGTTTTGTGGGACGGATAAAAAAAGAAAGGAGAAAGGTTTCACGAGACGGAGGGAGTATAAAAGTATTTTAAAAAAATAATATTTTGACCCAACAAAGCATTATTTCTATGTTTGACAAAAAACGAAGGAATTCTTGGAGTCAATGATTTTTGTTAAGATTGACTTTTATGAATAGGTCTCGAAGAGATGAATCCAACAGTATATTTTATGAATAAATCTGATGTACAGATTTTCAGTTATGACATTTTAAATACGTAATTTGCATAAAAATGAGAAGTGGTCAAAGATGTGAACTTTAGTAAAATGATTTATTGAAAAAAATATTTAAATTCAATAATATTGATTGAATATGAGAGTAATTTTAATTATATATCAATTAATTCAATTTTGACTCTGTCAAAGTCAACACCCAAAAATACGTTGTCAGAAAAAGTATTTCAAATAAATATAAAAATTATATCGTTGTGTAGAGTTTGACTATCGGACCACAACGATTCAGTCGAATTTTAATTCGGAGAAAGTTGGACCAAAAAGTGTATCCCGATTAGGGCCAAATTAGTCCCAATCAGGGACTTACGTATAGAATAAAAAAAATCAGCCGCCCCCTCCACTCAACGAAATCTCAGAGCTCACGCCACTTCCTCTCCCAGGTATATATAGAGCCATTCATTCTTCATCAATTCCACACCAAAATCATCCCATTAGTTAGAGGAGAATTCAGAGAGTTAAGAGAAGCTGTTCGGAGAGCTTCCCGTTGCCGGAGCAAGCCGTGGTGTTTGTCGGAAGTTTTACCGTTTTTCCGCCGGAATCATCGTTTCGCTTCGAAGTAATAGTGACTAGAATGTTCGTATAGATCGTTTCTACATTCATAAATGGTCGTTTGGTTGAGTTTTGTGTTTGACATATTTGAAGAACCAAGAATCATAAACCTTGAATTTATTGTTAAAACTTCGAATTGATGCCTCTAAAATGATCTACGAACCTTGGAGAACTTTTTTATATAGTTTAAATGAAGTTTGGTGACCAAAAATGGAATTTGATAAAAATGGGTTGGAGGGTTAAGATGATGAATAGTAACACTCCATTTTTCCTGCATTTTCCAACAGTACGGACGACCGTTCGGACCCAACGGTCGACCGTTACGAACATTTTTAAGTCCGAAAATGTTATTTTTGAAGCTATAAAATCCTATTTTTGATATCAATCAATAATGATCAATATAAAAATAATTGTTAAAAATAAAAATGATATTTTGACAAATAAAATTTTATATAATGTATGACGGTAAACTAAGGTGTTAACACTCGACGCTAGGCCTTTGTTATTGAACATTATGATGATTATTATTGATTAATGATTATATATAACGATTAACTTCATGACTAGTCTGATTAAAATGACAATTATGAATATTTGATTAAAAAAATATATTGATGATTATGAAAATAATGTGTATTGTTAAAGGATATCTAGAAGAACTCTAAAATATACCCATTTGGAAAATTGATGTAGACTATTAAGGATATCTAGAAGAACTCTAAGATATACCTAAGTGACCAATTCAGAAATATGGGGGTTAAAACATGCATACGGGATCCAGACCGGATATCACCCGTCACAGTTCACTGTTCGGTTGGTACGTAATCCACATGACTCATAGGGTGGATTATCGATTCTTGTGTTTTGCCTTAAACTAGTTATAGTTTAAGAGCCTGGTAAGAATTAATGTCTTAGACTAGGAATAGCTAAGAGCTTGTATAAAAATTATTTGGCCTTAGATTAAGAATAATTTAAGAGTACCTGTTGAAATATTGAATATTGAATATTGTATATATCATGAAATGACTTGAAATAAAATATTGTGAATATCATGAATAATGAATGCTTGAAATATGTGTTGTGTGCACGATATCAAATGGTTGATTATGAATTGAGATTCAATTTATATGGATGTTCGACGCATTAGATATGCTTACTCAGCTTCAATGCTGAGCGTGTAGTATGTTTTATTTGCTACACGCAGGTAAACAAAAAAAATGATGTGATGGAATCCTGGCGGCAGACGGGGTGAGATGGTCAAGGTGGATGTGTGAAATGAATTAAAGTTTAAAAAGACATAATATTATTATGTTTTGTAATTGTTATTTATTCAGATTTCGCAATATTAAATTACTCCGTTATTATTTTGAATCATTTATTATGAAATAAAGTTTTAAAATGCTTGAAATGTTTTGAATGTTACGAATACCAAGTTTATACTTTAGTTCAAAAGGGGCTGCAGACATAGACGGATTAGGGTGTTACATGCTGCACCAAGTGTTGAGTGGATTGTTACATCCACCAGTCATTCTTGAGTGGAAATGGGAAAGGATCACGATGGACTTCGTGATGGGTTTACCTCTGTCGTACAAGAAGAACGACGCCGTTTGGA